AAATGTTTTGCACTTGTGTTTAATTTGCTCGGTCACTCACTATTGAATCCTAATTCATAATCTCCTATTTTCAGGCACGATATTTGCCTACGGACAGACATCTTCCGGAAAGACCTTCACCATGATGGGAAGTGAGCGTAACGCTGGAGTGATTCCTCTCGCCATGGCTGACGTCTTCAAAACCATTAAAAATGTAAGCATTTGTGAATCTTCCTGGCGTCAACTCGAGACAATGTCTTCACTTCTATGGTGCAACAGTTCAGATCTGAGATCTTCCTCCAGAGGAACCACTTTGTAGTGGATAACAGATTAATTGTGACCCTGCAGCACAAAAGCAGTCTTAAGTCGCTGGGGTATATTTGTAGCAATAGCCAACAATACATTGTATGGGTCAAAATTATACACTTTTCTTTTATGCCAAAAATCATTAGGATATTAAGTAAAGATCATGTTCGACCCTTGTGTCTGGTTTTGTGCTCCAGGGTCACATATATCAGTCTTTTCTCCTCACAAATGATTAAAGGAATCGTTCACCTGAAAATGAATGTGTTGCAAAGTTACATTTTTGAGTGAACTATTCCTCTAGTTAATCAAAGTCTTTTTCATTCTATATCAGCGAAAGAAACCATAGTTTTATTTCTTTGCGTCTATCTAGTGTCCAAAGAAAGAGTTTCTCCTGCGTGTGAGCTACATGGAAATCTACAACGAAACGGTCACAGATTTGCTCTGCGAAAGCTGGAAAAGGAAACCTCTGGAAATTCGTGAAGGAAACTACGTAAGTTGTTTGTCTTTTATTGTACTCGCACTGCGAATATGAGTTTCAGCGCTGAATGTGTCCACAGAAAAACGTGTACGTGGCTGATCTGACGGAGGAGCTGGTGACGTCTCCGGAGCAAGCCCTGTCCTGGATCACCAAAGGAGAAAGTAAAGCTGCACTGATTGCATCACTCACTCATCCTTAATTCTGTAATACTTGTTTGTTTGCTCATTACTTTATTCATACAGAAAACCGACATTATGGAAAAACAAAAATGAACCAGCGTAGCAGCCGCTCCCACACCATCTTTCGCATGGTAAGAAGCGCGCATGATGAACTGAAGTGTGTTTGCTGTCTGATTTAAGGTTCGTCTCTGAAGCGTCTCGTTTATTGTGTCCGTGTCAGATCTTGGAGAGCCGTGAGAGAAGTGACCCGGCGTCTGGTGAAAACGCTGATGGAGCCATCATAGTGTCACACCTGGTGAGCTCAAGACAAACCGGGAACTGTCTGTGATTTCATTCACCAATGCCATTTAGTTCAGATAAGCAGCAGTTGTGTTTAGTCAGTTGTTTGTTTCCTGTTCCTGTAGAACTTGGTGGATCTCGCTGGTGCTGAGAGGGCGAGTCAAACGGGAGCGGAGGGTAATGTTTTGTGTTACTGCTATTCATTCTTTTAGCCTGTTGCTTGTTTAATACTTAAGGTCTTGAGTTTTTTTTTTACTATTTAATTAGTTAATTTATTATATGTGATCCTGGAGCACAAAACCAGTCTTAAGTCGCTGGGGTATATTTGTAGCAATAGCCAAAAAAAA